AAAATAAAATATAAGCCAGTTCACATAACCAGTGTAATATCACTTATTTTCTTTATTCTAATTGGTATTGTATTAAGTATTTGTGTACTATTCATCGAAGTTTATGTTTTTACTCGTAAAAAGAAGAAGAAATTAGAWYTGCAAAYAATTCCATCTGTGRTTTCGCAAAAACTTGATGTTAGAACTGAAGCATCTTAAAAAWAATGTTGCACAAAATTTGATAAATTATAAGATTTASATTATTGCAGTTATGACATTAATATGCTTTTGAAATTAATCTTTATAATATAATTGTCATTTATGTAAAGTAGTTGCATTCACTCAAAGCTTTCACTTTTGTAGAAAGTATTACCGAATAAAGTTCACGYGTAGTTTATGTCTAAATTATATCGATTATTAAAACTATATAATTATTTAAAAATAATTACCATCTTATTTTTAGGCATAGTTTACAATTTTGTGCAATACAAACTTTCATCTACAAGGTATCCTACAATACATGAAATTCAATTTTTCAATACGTATTTTAATCGATTACAACAATTTTCAATAATATCCTTACAATCTCGTATAAGAAATAATGAATTTAGTTTCGTTTAAATTTTTTCAATGTTGTTTTTAAAGAATTCACATTATAAAATTGTTTCACATAAAAAGATCTAACGTGCATTCTTGTGTGTCCTTATTGTTTATGTGCATTTAGCTGAATATTCAAAAAAAAAAATAAAATAATAGTTTAACAATGCATCAATTGATAGATCAGTGTTAGCACGAATAAAATATTTTTCATAATCAGTTAATGTTCATGCAAAAAATTTGCGTGCTTTAGAATCTGCACGACAATCGTAATATTCAAATTAACAATAATTCTATTCAATAATTTATAAATTTACTCTCGTCCAATCGTCTCTTTCAGTCGCACTCGATTTTATTCCATGAATAGTTTACTCGTTCGACGTAAAAATAAAAAAAAAGTATCTGAGTAAAATTAGTAAATTATAATAAAAAATCAATCAGAAAAAAAGAACAAACAAAATGAAATTTTTCGTTGGATTCAATATTTTCCTTCTATTTCTTTTTATTTTTACGAAGATCAAAAAATCTTACCAATTTCTTCCTACCGAAAACGAATACGTTTCATTTATCATTGACGTTTGCAAATTTTACGAAACAAATTCGACCATCTTTTTATACGCCAATTCGACCAAAGGTAGAAATATGTTGACAATACTGATATACAAAGTTTCTGTTTAAATAATATAATCGTATACTGTTTTTTTATTTGAATTTGTTCTTTTTGTTTTGTATTGCCTTGTTTTGTTTTCTTTAGAAATGGAAATGACCACGATGATTTTTAAATGGACACGTGCATTTTCACGTARAGGATATACCACTTCGAACTTGTACTTTTTCGAATTACACGAATCGTCATATTACGTGAACCGAATAGTGAGACCGCATTACATAGCAGTGATTTCTGACGATGATGCGATCAATGAATTTTCATTAGCAACTAGGACATTTGACATGTCTTTTGCCGCGTGGTTAATTGTATTCATTTACGATACAAATTATTGTCAAAATCCACCTGGTAATATATTTCATCTGAGATACGACTCGGAAACTTTGGTACGTTGCAATAGGGACAATCTATTACGAGAATGGTACTCRATCGATGAAAATCAAACGGAAATAAATGATGTAGCAACATGGAACTTGGATAAAGGGATCACTAAACTTGGCTCAGRTTCTATTTACGATAGAAGAGTTAATTTAGGCGGTTTGGTTATGAAAGCTGTATTGGTTAAGGTAAATATATTTTACTTATTTAACTTWTTATTAGAATAATTTAAAATAATATGCGCGCGTACCTTGTAAGTAAAAATTCAAAACATTAATTGAATAGGTGACTGGAAGAAAAGAATAAATTTCTTTACAAACTTGTAACATTAGATCTTTACCTTCAGATACCCATTTAAATATCAAATAATTTCATTTGGTAATTTATAAACAACGTGTTTGAAGACGGGTYAACTCACTTTTAGTTTAAATATTTCTCATCCGTGTTATTAATTCAACATTTAAAATTATGACTCAAAAAATGGGTTTAATAAACTCGTCTTTCATTATTTTTTCATCAATTTTGTAGGATGGACCATTCATAAATATAAACGAAGATGGTGAATTAGACGGTGTATTTGGTAAAATATTAAGAGAACTTTGTACTACCCTCAATTTTAGTTTCAAAATTGTATCCGAAGTAGAAGAGTACGGAAGATGGGACCCAAAAATAAATACTTGGACCGGTGCTATGGGAGAAATGTATTCTGGACGTGTTGACATTTCTGTTTCAGATTTTTCTATGACTARTGAAAGATTGAACGTAGTTGATTTTACTCTTCCTCTTTTATTATCAGAAAGTTGTATTTACATTCAAGAACCGCAAATATTTGCTGTTAAATGGTCATCATATTTTCTAGTACGAAATAATATCAATTTAAAATAATTTTTTTTCTCGTTAATTATCAACTAATAAAAAAAATGGTTATTTTTATTACAGACTTTCGCTTATTCTGTWTGGATTTCCATTTTTGGAGTATTGATCTTTGCATCGATTTTATTGATTTTTATTAAAATCAGAAATGGGAAAAATCGTTACCTTGGACCATTAATATCCGATAATTTTATTGAAATTTATGGTATTTTCTGTCAACAAGGAATAGCAGGTTCGAATGAAGGTTTCTTTTTTCTTTTTTAATTGTTTTTCATTCATTTATTTTTAATGTTTACTTTATCATTAAATATTCGTGTACTTTAGATTTTCCTTATAGATCTTCGTTAAGAATAATATACTTTTCAATGTGTTTAATGGCTTTTGTCTTATCAACGGCATACTCCGCGGCCTTGATAAGTTTTTTAACGTCAGTCATTCGWGTTTTACCTTTCCGTTCATTAGAAGGCTTTGTTGAAGATGGTACATACAAATTTTCCGTATTTCGCGGTATTGCTGATTATGATAGTTTTGCAGTAAGTATTTCAATTGTTAGCGTTGTTTATGCTTATCATAATATCATCGTCAAATATTTATATTCAGAAATAATAATCATTCTAAAACAACGAACAAAAATTTATTTCTAGAATTCGAAAGACCCGCTTGCGAAAAATTGATGAATATGATGATAGAAGAAAAAAATTTGCCGATCACTGTACTCGAGGGATTTGAAAAAGTACGATGAAGTATTGTTTATAAGAAAATAAAAAATCATATATAAAAAAATAATTTTTAAATGTACAGTATGATCCTTAAATCACTGTTTTATTTATAAATATAATAATCTATTTTATGTAAAATATAAATTGAATTATTTTCCTAAGCAATGGAAATACTTCTTTAAAATGATTTTTAATTAATTATATTTATTCAATACGTTTGGTGATTTTGTGACTCTGGGAACATCCTGTATTTGTAATAATTTGAATAGTAATAATTTTGAATTTAATTTTAGATTTGTAAAGATAAAAAATTAGCGATCTACTCCTCGAATGAAATAAAAAATGCGATTACTCTTAAAATACCATGTAATGTTGTTTCTATCAAAGTAGGACATGTAGATAATTTAGCTATAATCTTATCTAAGCATAATCCCTTCACCAAGGTCATTAATTATCAGTAAGTTAAATTATTTTTAAAAAAATAATCCTTGTACCCTTTAATTAAAGCACAATTAATTAGTTTCAGTTTACAAAAATTTATCAACAATGGAATGATGAATCGAATAAAAGATTCGAAAGTTAAACGAAAGTTCATTGAAAATATCGAACATATACCGGTTCAAATAACAAACGTATTATCCGTTCTTTTTCTTATACCACTTGGAATCATTTTGAGTATATGTATTTTGATCATAGAAAAGTCTTTTTTTTCTCGCAAAATTAAAAACAAATCGATGATTGATCGAGTCTCATCGAAAAAAGTGTCGAAAATTTCTAAAAAAAAGAAGAAAACTATAAGAAATATTTCCAAATTTAAACAAAATTACGCACAATTGATGTATTAAAAATCACTATAATTCGTTTTAATGAAAATTTGAGTAAATTTAAGGTATAACATGATTCAATAAAGATTTCAAAAAAATGCATAACAATTTTTCATTTCAATTTCATCCAATTAAAAATTAATCATTTGTATATATGAAAATGTATCTTAATTTAATACATTTTTTAAAAAAGTGTAAAAAATTTAAATTACAAGTAATACAACAAAATTTATAAATTATTTACTTTCACAAACTGATAAAGTTTGAAAAGTGCTTATTAATGTCAACATATGAATAAAGTTAGATGATCATCGGTACATACATTTTCAGTTTTTTTTTTGTTTTGTTTCTATACGACTTCAATAATTGAGCAGAGTATTACTATTCAAATCTATAATGGTCGTGATCATCATCAAGCACTTTATTCGTTTATCTCAATCAGAAAAATCTAATAAATTATTTCAATAAAAATTCAACTTTATCTTTTTTATTATTTTTTTTAGAATAGTACAACCATTTACATATCAAACGTACAATTATAGAAACGCTAACGTGTGTGTGTGTGTGTGTTTATTTAGTATGTAAATACGGATATAATTCCGCGTATCGAAGAAGAAAAGGGTGACAAAAAGTCGTGGCAAAATAAAAAGAACGTTCATTAATCGATCGATAAATATTATTAATCAATGCCAGCCAACAGGTAAAATTATTTCCTTCCAACTAATATTGTGGACATATCAAACACATACACACACAGGTCGTATGTTTTTCGATCTACTCGACAAGAGCCGCAATAATCGAAGTGACATTAATTCTCTCGATAGTTTAGAAATTTAGTCTCGTGCTATCTTTTCTCGTTGGCGTGTGCAAAATTTTTATACTTATTTCTACGTAAAATTATCATCTCAAAAAATAAACAAAAATAATTGTTAAAAATAATTTTCGGTGATTCGACGAATGAAAAAAAAAACGAGAAAAATGATAATCTTAGTTCAATTAAAGATGATTCTATTTATTATTTTGTTTTCAAAGTTAACAAGATCGTACGAACTTTATTCCATCAATGACGATGACATTTCTTTCATCGTTCAAGTGTGCAAATTGTATAACACGAAATCAACTATCTTTTTATATGGCGAATCGATAAAAGGTGCTGTTTTTTCTTTTTCTTTTTTTTTCTTCTTCTTCTTCTTTAAGGTTTCATTTTAATTTTTATTACTTAGAAATGGAAATGACAACGATGGTTTTCAAATGGACACGTGCACTTTCACGCCAAGGTTTTACTACTTCCAATTTGTATTTTTCTGAGTTACATGAATCCTCCTATTACGTGGGACGAATAGTTAGACCCCATTACATAGCAGTAATTTCTAATTACAACGCTATCGGTGAATTCTCATTGGCTACTAGTAATTTCGACATGTCTTTTGCCGTATGGCTTGTTTTGTTCATTTACAAGGGACAAGGCTCAGATTATTGTCATAATCCACCTGGTAATATATTTAATTTGAGATTCGATTCGGAAATGTTGGTACGTTGTGGTCCGGACAATTTTTTACGAGAGTGGTATTCGATCGGTCAAAATCATACCGAGATTGACGTTGTGGCAAAGTGGAGCTTGGAAAAAGGGATCATTAAAATGGCCCCAGATTCTCTTTACGATAGGAGATGGAATTTACAAGGTTTGGTCATGAAAGCTGTTATTGTTAAGGTAAAATATTTTTTTTTTGTTTTAAATCTATCTTTTTTTTCGCTGATTTATTGTAATTTTAGTTTGAAATAATTTAAGGACGTTTTGTGAACAAAATATGCAAGAAATTCGGAGATTTAAATTAAATTGATTTAATAAAAAATGGCCTATGTTACATACTGTCAACTTGTAACAATTGCAACAAGAAAATTTAATATAGACCCTTTTTCCTGACATTCATTCAATTATTATTGTTCTCACTTTGTGTGTCATCCCTGATAACACGTTCGGATTATTTCTAATATAAATTTAAATTAAAAAATTACTTGATTTTATAATCCTAAATAAAATACAAATTAATGCACAATTAAAATATAAATAATGCATTTATATTAATTATTATATATTAATGCAAATTATAATTAATGCAAATTAAAATACAAGTATTTTTCAATTTAATATTTTTTAATTCATTCAATAATTTAAATTTCTATTATTATAATCTATGTTAATATTTGAGATTAAAAAAATAATGTAATATTTTTTATATTTTTATATTTTGTAGGAGGGATCATTCGTTAATGTTAACGAAGATGGCCAATTAGACGGTGTATTTGGTAGAATATTACAAGAGCTATGCGTTAGTTTAAATTTTAGTTTTAACGTAACCACCAAAATAGATGAATATGGAAGATGGGATCCAAAAGAARAGACTTGGACCGGTGCAATAGCAGAAATATCTTCAAAACGTGCTGACATTTCTCTTTCGGATTTTTCTATGACCAGTGCAAGATTGAACGTAGTTGATTTCACTTTTCCTCTTTTAATTACCAAAAATTTTCTTCACATTCAAGAACCACATATATTCGCAATCGAATGGTCGACTTATTTTCTCGTATGACGAATTTTTTACGATCTTACTTTTTTATCGTAAATCAATCTTAGCCAATTTAAAATTTTGGTTTTATTTTTAGGCTTTTTCTCGTTCAGTTTGGCTTTGTACGTATGGGGTATTAACCGTTGCATCGATATTGTTGATTATTCTTAAAAAACAAAATGGATCGGCACTAAAAATTGGACATTTGTGGTCAGATAATTTTTTAGAGATTTGGGGTATTTTGTGTCAACAAGGATTGACTGGTTGGTTATTCGATATGTTTTTATTTATATTTTTATTTAAAACTCTTTTTAGATAAGTAATTAATTTTACAATAAATATTTGTCGTTGTTGTTTTAGATTTTCCTGATAGATCATCATTAAGAATAACATACTTTTCAATGTTTATTTTTTGTTATGTTTTATTGGCCGCCTATTCAGCAGCTTTGATAAGTTTTTTAACATCTTCTATGAAAGTTGTACCATTTCGTTCATTAGAAAGTTTTATCGAGGATGGTACTTATCGAATTGCAGTTTTTCGTGGTACTTCTGATTATGACGTGTTTGCAGTAAGTATGTTAAATAATTATTTTAATTTATTATATCAGGTTGTTCAAAAAATTATTTTGTTATTTTTAATGTTAAATATAAACCATGGTAATTTAAAAAAAAATAAAATTAATAAATTATAAATTAATATGTAAATAATACAGATGAATTTTTACATCAAAATCCAAGGTGTTTTCGAACGAAATTAATTTTCGTTAAATTTATTTTATATAAATAAATATTTGTTCGTAGCATTCGACTGATTCACTTTCACGTCAAGTCATGAAATTGATGCTACCTGAAGATAAATTGCCAGTATCTATGCTCGAAGGATTTTTGCAAGTAAGATAATGAATTATTTATAAATAAAAAAAAATATTTAAGCTTTTACATTGATAAATAATTTTATTCTTATTACAGGTATGTAAAGATAGGAAATTAGCAATTTACACGTACAATGAAATAGAAAAGGATATACTTTTGAAAATACCGTGTAACATTATGTCAATTGAATCTGGTGCTGTTAACACTTTATCAATTATTTTATCCAAAAACAATCCTTTCACCGGTATCATTAATTTTCAGTAAGTATTAAACGAATAATGCAAATTTTCATTTAAAGGTTTATCATCGAAATACAAATTTATTACAGTTTGCAAAAATTTATCAACACTGGAGTAATGTATCGTTTAAAAGAGATAACATTTGAAAAGAAATTTAATGATGAAACAAAACATCATAATCCAGTACCCATAACCAGTGTAATATCGATTATATTTTTCATACTAATTGGTATCGTATTAAGTATTCTTATTTTAATTATTGAAATTTGTTTTTTCGCTCACAAAAGGAAAAAAAAATTAATACCAAATCGTATCTCGTTAATTAAATCATCGGAAAAGTTTGTGATAAAAAGAAACAAATTGTAAAATATATTATTAACTAAAAGGTTGTAACTTTGTAATTTCGATTGTAATTTTTTTCTAATGAAACTCGCACAGTAATATTCTGAGCTTTTGAATAATTTAGTACGACTATAAATTGACATAGAATTCATTTTTTTTCTTTTTTTTTTCTTTCTTTCTTTCTTTTTCATTTTATTATACATATGAGCGTATTTACTTATAGATGAAAGATATGTTTTTATTTATTCATAAAGTTCGCCTACAAGTATTTGAATTTTTTTCGCGTTTATAATATCGTATAATATATATAATATAAATTTTCCTTTATTGTTCATAAATTTTATAGTTAGGAAAAAATAATTACAAATTTACAATAATCATTTTGTATTTATAAGTCAGATGGTCAAGTGGTTAAATTAAATCGCTTTTTCTCGAGTTTTTTGATAAACATATTTTTCTATGCAGAGTCAATTTAATAGCACAGCGTGTCAAATTTCCCATGAAGATGACAATCACAATAAATGATCACACGCTTGTACATTAATAAATTAATATATATATATATATATTTTATACTACGAAATTATTCAAGTTACACATTGAATTTTATTATATTAAAATAATAATAACTATAGGAACAAACAAAAAAATTCATTATATTATTTCCATTAGAGAATTTTTTTATCATTTTGTATTTGTTGCGTTTCATTTTCATATTTCAAAACCATGCGTGTTAGAAAAATATCAACGTGTGTATGTAAATTCGTAAAAGAAAAAGAAAAAAAAGCAAAGTTTATTAATCGAACGATTATAAATGTATGTCAGCAGATATTCAATTATTTTCTTTAAAAGGATATTCAAACACATACATACATTTACACGCATACATAAACAAACATGTTGCGTGCAATCAGATCTAAACGATGATTACATTATTGGAAATAACTTTAATACTTTGAAGAGTTTAAAAACTTTAGTCTTGTTCGATCTTCATTCCTCGTCGTATAATAAATTTCATTATACTAATCTCTTCTCAAAACAAAATGAAATTTATTATTAGATTAACGATATTTTTAATTATTGTTTTATTACCAAAAATTGCTAAATCGTACGAACTTCTTTCTACCGGTGACGAATACGTTCCTTTAATCATAACAGTTTGCAAATATTACAGAACAAATTCTATTATTTTTTTATATGCCCAAGCAGTCAAAGGTAGGAAATAGAAAAAAAGATATTTTTCATTTTAGTTTTCATTCGTACTGGTAATTATGACAAAGCATTATACAAATTTATTTTATAATATAATAAATAATTTTAATGTGAAAAGTTTATCACATAAAATTCGTATTTCTAATTTTTGGATTTAGGCCAGTGGCACAATTACCGGTACATTGAATTTTTTTCATAATTTTTTTTTAAATTTGATTATTTTAAAATTTTTTCTTTAGAAATAGAAATGACAACGATGATTTTYAAATGGACTCGTGCACTTTCTCGAGAAGGTTTTACTACAACAAATTTTTACTTTTCGGATATGCACAAATCAACGTATTACGTTAAACGAATAGCAAGACCACATTACATCGCAATTATTTCTAATTACAGTGATATTAATGAATTTTCATTGGCAACTAGTACATTTGACATGTCATATGGGGCTTGGTTAGTTATTTTTATTTACAATGGTTATGGTTCAGATTATTGTCACAATCCACCCGGTAATATATTTCATTTGAAATACAATACGGAAATGTTGGTACGTTGTGGTAAAGAAAATATTTTAAGAGAATGGTACTCGATTAATAGTAATCGTACGGAGATCATTGATATAGCAAAATGGAACTTGAAGGATGGAATTACCGATAAAATTTCTAATTCTCATTACGGAGAAATTAAAAGTAATTTACAAGGTTTGACCATTAAAGCTGTCGTTGTTAAGGTAAATGTTTGTCTTTATTATAAATAAACTTACTGATGATTTATCTCATTGACATGTTTTAACAACTATCTCCCAATTTACACGTTATTTTGAAGAACTAATCTTCCGTGTAAATTTGGGGGGATGGTTAAGTGTAATTTAAGTTAAATAAAATCTTCTATCATTTTCTTTCCATACGATTCATTCGAATTTACAAAATAAAAAAATAAAACTTTTCTTTTAAAATATATATCTCTGAAACATTGCACACATATATGTTTTCTTCTCTATTTTAGGATAATAAATTTGTAACTATTAATAAAGATGGCCAATTGGATGGTGTAGTCGGTAAAATAATGAGAGAACTTTGTTCCTCTTTGAATTTTACTTTTGACATCGTCTCGGAAGTACCCAATAATGGAATATGGAATCCAAAATTTAACAATTGTTCTGGTGCTATCGATGAATTATGTAGTAAACGTGCTGATATTGCATTCTCCGATTTTACCATGACCAGTTTGAGATTGAACGTCATTGATTTTACTATTCCACTATTAGTATCCAAAAATTGTCTTTTCATAAAAAAACCAAAAAGATTCTTTATTAAATGGTCATCTTATTTTTTAGTACGATAATTTATAATCAACATTATTTTGTTTGATGTTTTTTAAACCTCGTGAATTTAATATGACATATTTTTTCTTTTTTTTTTTCAGACATTTTCTCTTACACTTTGGATTGCTGTGTTTGGAATAATAATTGTTACAACGATCTTATTGGTTTTTATAAAAAAACAAAATGGAACAGATCGTTGCTTCGTAAATTTATTATCGGATAATTTTCTCGAAATTTGGGGAATAATTTGTCAACAAGGACTAGCCGGTTATATACAATATTGTTTTCATTTTTTGAAATAACTTGTCTTTTTTAAATAATTTATTATAATATATTTATTTTATATAGATTTTCCTGATAATTCATCATTAAGAATAGTATACTTTTCATTATTTATTTTGGCTGTTGTCTTATTGGCTGCTTATTCTGCAGCTTTGATCAGTTTTCTAACTTCTAATATGCAAATTGTACCTTTTCGTACGTTAGAAGACTTTATTGACGATGGTACTTATCAATTAGCTGTTTATTATGCTTCTTCCGATTATGAACTATTCGCAGTGAGTATACTAATTATACTTTCAATCAATTTTATTCTAATATTTCATTTAATGAAAGGACTAAATATCAAATTCGTTATATCCCCCCAAAATTCTGTGCTTTTATTAATGTTTCAACCACAAATACTGTTTGCTACATAAAATTTCATTCTTCTTTGGTTAATTTGTGATTCAACAATTTAACAAATTACTCGCATGAACAAATCTCTGACCAAAACAACCTTTAACTCGTCATGTATTCTATTTTTTATTTCTAATAGAATATTTTTATTTGCACAGACCTCAAAAGATCCGATGATACAGGAATTAAAGAAGTTGATGATAGATGAAAATAAATTGCCTGAAACAACGATAGAAGCATTTCGAATGGTACGATGAATTGTTATTACAAACATCACAAATATAAAAAGAAGTAATTTTAATTTGTAAATTAATAATACATCTCAAAAACAATGATATTATTAATATTTATTATTAACTTACAGGTCTGTACTAATAAAAAACTAGCAATGTACACGTCAATAGTAAGAAAGGAAGCAGTAAATTCTCAAATACCGTGCAGCGTTGTTGCGATTCCAACTGGACGTATAGAAAATTTAGCTATTGTTTTATCCAAACATAATCCATTCACCGATATTATTAATTTTAAGTAGGTACTTAATAAAAAATATTAATTTTCATTGATTTTATTTCATTAATGGACAATCTTATTGCAGCTTGCAGAAATTTATCAACAATGGAATGATGTATCGTTTGAAAGATAAGATATTTAATAAGAATTTCAATTTTGTGTCTCAACCACAACCGGTTCGCATAAACAGCATTTTATTACTCATTATGTTCATCATAATCGGTGTCGTTTTGGGTGTTCTTATTTTAATCCTAGAAAAATGTATTTTTGCGTATAACAGTAAGAAATCGTTAATGGTGGATCATCATATTTCATTAATCAAATCGTCAGGATTTTACTTACAAAAAAAAAATAATGTTCAATTTTCTCGATACTATTTTAATCGTAAAATTGCACCAGTTCGATATTAACGAATATACTAATGTTCAATTTTTTGTTATTTTAATTATAATATTTTGATTGTAACTTTTTAATTGAATTTAAACACGCTCAGGTAAATCTAAACTTTTGCATATTTTAAGCACAACTTTACATTGAAAAGAAGAATGTATAATATAATTTTGTTATCATTATACTTTTTATCGTGTGTACTTATGATATAGTTTCTTTTTTTTTTTCTTAATTCGTCGAACACACCCACACATATTTGAAGTTTTTTTATTCTTCTACGAAGTATGTTATATACATTATTTTATTATAGTCAGAACAAAAAAGAGAAAGAAAAAAGAAATTACATTTAGTATATTTATTTATTTATAAATTTAATCTTGTATCGTCAAGTTTTTTAATAAACATAATTTTTCTATTTGGAACGAGTAAAATTTCTATCGCAGCAACAACGTGTCAAATTTCCCATGATAGTAATCGCTATATGTGTATCAACGTGTATATAAATTTATGAGAAAATTCGCATCATGCCATCAGAAAGGTTAAACATATTGACAAAGATTAGAAATAATCTTGATAAAATATCATTTATTATCGTTAGACATTTTTCCACGTTTAATTTATGATCCTCCTTTTCGTTCAAACCATTTTACCAGAGAAATTTCTTACCATTCATTTCCATACTTTGAAAATACATTTCATTTACAACATCGTACACGGTGTGCTTAGAACCAGGTCAAAGTTTATCATGTCAAGTTTGTTGGTATTCTTATTCACATATTTATTTTTCTTATCCTACGTCGTGTGTTTCTTCAACTCCCGGACATTTTCATCGGATAGATTTCTCGCGGAAAATTATGTTTCAAACGTTATCGAGATATGTCATTTTTATAAAGCATCTTCCGTATTTCTTTTTTACACTGCTGCTTATATCAGAGGTACGTACAATTTCATTATTAGTTGACACGCATTTTATTGTCCAGAAAATTAATTAAATTATAAATATATAATTAAAATAATTAAAAAGATAGGTACAAACTTTTTGGTCAAACTAATAAAATATTTAAAAATATATATGTAAATATAAAAGCATATTGTCTTCTAATAATTGCATTAACTTTAGCTACCAAATTTTTGCAATGTAAAATATTTTATTCTCACACAATTATTGCAATATTTTTAGATTTAAAAGTTAACACTATGGTACAAACTTGGGCACGTTTGTTGTCTCGAGAAAAAATTTCTTTTATCAATATACATCTCTCGAATATGACAAAAACATCATGCTACTTATACAGAATAAGAAAACCATTGTTCGTTGTAATCTTGATCGATGATCAATCGGTAGTAGAATTTTCGAAAGAATCTCGTATCTTCAACATGTCATTTCCTGTTTGGTACGTCATCTTCTTACCTGGAAATTATCGTCAAAATTATTGTCAAGAAAGATCGAAAAATTTGTTCAACATTCATTTTAACACCGACATGTTAGTCACCTGTCCCCCGGACAATGTCATGCGAGAATGGTATTCCTTGAAAGATAATGAAACTAAGACTTCTGATTTGGCTATATTGAAACCTGATGGTTCATTTCAATTTTTAACCAATTTGACAAAGTACCATAGAAGGAGAAATCTGAATGGATTGAAACTTAGAACTGTTATTGTCAAGGTAAGGAAAAAAAAGATAAAGTGTATATGATTTTTATTCAAACTTACGTGTAGAAAGGGTTGCAGTTTTGAAGGGGCATTGAAATTTATTACAAGAATAATTGATTTTATTTGTATTAATCTTGAGATGCATACATTTTGAATTTCTACATGTTTTTAACAATTAATTTGTGTATTTTGAATTTTTGTAATTTTTTAAATATTAAATACAGGATAGTCCATATGTTGAGGTAGAAAAAAATGGAAAATTGAATGGATTATTCGGAGATATAATAACCGAGATAAGTCAAGCAGCTAATTTTACATTCAACATCGTAGAATTTGTAAAAGAATACGGAAGATGGGATGATGACAATCAAATTTGGACTGGTGCAGTTGGTGAAATAGTAGCTGGTCGAGCCGACATTGCAATTGGTGAATTTTCATTAACAACAAGCAGGCTCAATGTTGTTGATTATGTTTTACCCGTTTTAGTTAGTCATATGAATTTTTATATAAAGGATCCACTTTATGATAATGTCAAATGGACCGGTTATTTTAAAGTTAGTATCATTAATATTTATTTCATATTAATTTTCAATCAAAAATATCAAATTATACGTTTGATTTTTCTCACTGATTTTCTTTTAAGGTATTCGATTCAAAAATTTGGATTTTTATTATAGTAATCATATCAACAGCACCATCACTTGTTAGTGTCTTGAAAATGAATGATATTCAAGAATGTAATATTTATCAAATTATTTCTATGATATTAGAAAATTATCTTCAATGTTGGGGTATATTTTGTCAACAAGGTCTCAATGGTTTGTATATTTTTGATATTTAAGAAATATTAAAATTATTTATAAAAATAAGTTAAATAAGAATATAGTTGTACTATAATTACGGTTATCATAAATCATCTAAATTTTATTTTCCTTAAAACACAACCATTTTGTGTCCTTTATTTTATTAATTAAAATAATTTATATCACAAAAATCTGATTTATTAAAAATAATTCAAACTTATGAAAAGTAATCAAAATCGAATTCTTTTTTCCTTTTTTTTTTTAGGATTTTCTTATCGACTGTCTTTAAGATTGGCATATTTTTCAACCTTCTTATCAGCATTTGTAGTTTTCACTGCATATTCAGGAACATTAGTATCATTTATAACAAACAGCATTCATTCTTTACCTTTTCGAACACTTGAAGAACTCGTTAAGGATGGGACTTATCAGCTTGCAGTTTATAGGGGTGGATCAGAGTACGATATGTTTGCTGTAAGTATTATAAAATAAAATATAAACCCCTCAATAATACATCGATATACTTTTATTCATAGTACGGCAATGATTCAACATCGAAAAAGATTATGAAAATCATGAGAAAGGAAAATGAATTACCAACAACAGCTTTGGAAGCTCTTCTATTGGTAAATATATATATATATATGCAAAATTGTATGAAGGTCACGATCATTTAATGCGCGTTAGATTTATAAAAAAAGAAATACTTTTTTATTTTCCATATTGGAAAAATGAATGATAACTTTACAAACGACTTAGTTTTTTTTAAATGTGAAAATAATTGTAGGTTTGTAAAAGCAAACGAAGAGTTACATTTTTTACAAGTGTGGATATAAAATTGTCGATACGAAATCATTCATTATGTAACTTGATTACAATAAATGGTGGACATATAAATACATTGTCGATGATACTGACTAAAAATAATCCATTTGTCGATTTGATTAATCATCAGTAAGTAAACGAATTTTTTTTTTTTTGTTTTTTAAAACCAAAACTATTAAAGCATGTAAAGATTTAATTAGTATATTTTTACTTTGACAGTTTGAGGCAGTTTTTGTTCAATGGTGTCATTGATCGTCTCATCAAAAAAAATAGGAAAAATTTTAACTCTCATGGTTTAACATATAAAAGTGTTTCCTTGCACTCGGTGAATCCTATTTTTGATCTTTTAAAAATTGGTTTTGTTATAAGCATTAGTATATTATTAATAGAATTATTGTTAAGAAAAATAATTGTTTACAAAAGAAGAAACTTACGTAAGACGAAAAAGATCGATGTAATTGTAAAAAAAAATCTAATCAATTGAAAATCATGAAGATTACTTTTTGCTCAATTGTTTAAGATAATTATGTATTTAAATGAAATATATTAAAATTAATTAGATGAAAAAAAGGATAAATAATGTCTTATAAATAATTAACCTATTACAACATTTCGACATTGTATTATAAAATTGATAAAAAATATTTTTAAATAAATACGTAAAGAAATGTTAAAAACAAATTATATTAAAAGAAAATTGTATTACTCGTAATAATCAAGTCGAGTGTTGTTCCTCTTCGATTTGTATTCGTAGTTACAATCAAGGTTGACATGTAATGCTTATGATTAAAGTCGACAGGAAAATGGCAGAAATACATCGTTACTTCAGAACGATTTTTAATCTAAATATTTGCGATCTTTACAAATGAGAGAGAATCTAAAGTGACATGAAAGTACATACGTCGTTAGAAAATCGAAGATAAAATTGTCCATATACCGAGTGAGTCAATAATTATTATCACTTATCAGTTAAACTGTTCATTTTTATTCATCTTTTTATTTCTTCGCAATGTAATAATCTTACAATCTAAAATTGTAATGTAAAGCAAAAAATGTTTATTTTAAAATGTAACTTGTTTTTGTTTTAATACAATTGTTTTTTTTTTTTTTTATTTAAAACAAGGACAGTTTTTAGTTCATTCAGTATAATAAAGATTGAAATATATCAAATTCAAAATTATTTCGCATAGAAAAAGAAAGAGAGATATTAGACAGAAATAAAAAGTAAGAGAGAAAGATAGAAAGAAAGTGAGAGACAATTATTTTTTATCTATCGCAATCATCTAATGTTCCATTAGAACGCATGCGCATGCAATTTGTAAATTGTTCCGCATATCCTTTTATGATTGACGTTATAATAGGGATGGATGTGATTAAAAAAAAAAAGAAACCACATTATTTTACTTCAATATTATACATTTATAATTTGAAATTATCACATTTTACATTTTAATACGTACCATTTCATACGATCAACTTACAATAATCATGAAAAAACATTTTTGTATTTATGTGATAAATGAAATAATCAAACGACAGTGGATGTAAAAAATGTTAAAAGATCTAATCGAATTATGTTTGAGTGCATCCGAGTCTGTTTGTTGGGTTATACCTGCAGTGCAGGTAAAATTACTTCTACTCGTAGTTGGGAACTTAGTCGTTCGTAGTGTTCGTCATTGTTCGCGCCCTTATTTCTTGCTCAACAACACGTTTTTTCATTTGATGATCGATTAAACTTTTCAATCAAACTCTCAACCTACACTTCGTTGTCTTCTATTAGGTCGGATAATTTTTTTTTCTCTTTCTCTCTCTTAAATGATTAAGTACCAATTTAATCATATCTGTCTCATCTCGTTCATTTTAATTCATCAAAACTTTATTTGGGAAAAATTTGGTGTTGTTTAATGTTGTAAATTTTTGAAAAGAAAAAAGGAAACAAAAAATGTCACAGTGGAAAAATGTTATTATAGTTGTGCTTGTACTTGAATTTGTTAAAACAGGAATCACCAATGATCAACATACGAACTATATTTCGCTTATAATAAACGTCTGCAAATTTTATAAAACTTCCAGCGTATTTTTATTCTATTTTCGTACTACGTCAGAAGGTACGTATTAAATCTAATTATTTTAATCAACATAATCACGAAATGTAAATTAGTTTGAAATGTTTCATCTATTTTATATAAACGGCAAATGTGTGTGATGGGTATAACAAAATTATAATTTTTATAAATACCTTGAATCTATTTTGGGATTGGATTTATTAACGAATTGTGTAAAAAAAAATTAGATTTATATTATATTATATTTATATCGTTGCAAAATTGCAACGATAGTGCACTCCTACAAAAATTGGCACCGTTTGATTAAAAAAAGAAAAGTTTTTATTTACAACACAATAACAATTTGATACAATATTTAAATATTTAATATAACTTCGATATATTTATTTATTATTTATTATTTAATTTACTAAACACCTTGTGTATTAAAATTTAATTATTTTTTTGAAAATAAATTTTGAATGTTACATTTGTAATACATTAATTAAAATAATAATAATAATTTTCTTAGATTTAGAATTTAGCCGATTAATTCATCGTTGGATTCGCGAGTTATCTCGCGAAGGATTTATGGCACTCGGTACTGAAATATCAAACATGCGAGAAATATCCTATTACGAGAGTCGTATTGTACGACCTCTTTTTGTAGTATTCTTATCGGACAATGAATCGATTATAACATTTTCCAAGAATACTCAAAACTTCGACATGTCATTAGCCTACTGGTACGTCATATTTTTACCAGGATACAATCAAAAGGATTATTGTCCTATACCAAAAGGTAATCCCTTCAATCTTCTCTTCAACACTGAGATGCTGGTCTCTTGTCCAAAAGACAAGATCATGCGGGAGTGGTATTCTCTGAGAACTAATCAAACTAAAGTATTCGAATTGGCTGAGTGGGAATCTGATGGAACATTAATGCTATTAACTGAACTTAGTTTATACGAAAGGAGAAACAGTTTGGAAGGTTTAGTCATCCCAGCTGTTATTGTGCTGGTAAGAAAATATTTTGAATATTTTTCAAAAGCAAATTTTTATTATGTTAATTAAAAGAAAATTCTTGTTTTCATTTGATTTTCTATTAAATAAATAAATTAATTTTTAGTTAAATAATTTCAATCAACATTGTATATAATTTGTGGAACAATTTCTCTTATAGAAATAAATTTGTTAAATAATTTAAAATAATTATTTTTTTTTTCGTATATAAAAGAATTAAATTAATATAATTTATATTTAAATAAAATTTCGTTTAAATATTTCAGAGCAATCCTTTCATCGGTATTGACGAAAATGGTAAACTGACTGGTTCCTGTGGTAAAATATTATTAGAGCTTACAAGATTAGTTAACTTTTCTTTCGTTATTGTCAATGAATCTTCGTCGAATGGTAGATGGAACTCTAAGCATAATTCCTGGAACGGTGCAGTAGGTGAATTGATTGCCAATCGTGCACAATTTACAATATCTTTTGTATCAATGAGTAAATCAAGATCAGAAGTTGTTGATTTTACTTTACCGTTCATTCTTTCATCTACTTCGTTGTATATCAAGGAACCTGATGTTTCCAGTGTAGAATGGTCCAATTATTTTCGTGTATGTATTAAACATTTCTTTACATTTATTTTTGTTCAATAAAATTCACTTTCATTTAACTTATTCTTCGTTCGTATTATTTTTTATTTTGTCTTGCAGACATTCAATTACAAAATTTGGATATCTGTGGTCATTTTAATCTTGACTACACCAATTTTATTGGCATTCATGAAAATTATTGCCGATCAACGTAATTTCGTGTCATTGCTTTTAGATTCTTATCTTCAAATTTGGGGTATTTTTTGTCAACAAGGACTCGATGGTAAATTTATATAAAATAAAGTGTATATCTTCAAATATCGCCTAGTTTATAATAGATTATTTTGTTGAATAAATTTAAAATGTACAAATAAATGTCTTTTTTATCTATTTTTAGAATTTCCTCAAAGGTTCTCTCTAAGATTGGCATATTTTTCATTATTTCTTTCGGCTTTTATTGTGTCGGCAGCTTACTCAGCTTCGTTGATATCTTTTCTGACAAACGTTATCAATCGTTTGCCATTTCAATCGATGGAAGAATTTGTAAAAGATGGAACTTATACATTAATTTCACCTAAGGACAGCTTGGAATACGATGTATTTGCTGTAAGTTATTTAATAAATAATTTTTCTACTTTTTAATTTACTAAAATCATTTTGTTTATTATTGTTTCCAAATGTTTATAAATATATAAATGAATATAGTAAATATGAATTGTAAATGATTTCGATGTATTTTAATTTGTTAATAAAAAATTTATAGAATTCGAAACGACCATTAGCAAAAAAAATCATGACATTCATGAAAGCCGAAGAAAAATTACCCTTAACACATCTTGAAGGATTTTTTCAGGTAATTCCATTTAAAAAAAAAAAAAAATATTGTATTATTAATTATGGGGTTGTTCGTTAAGTAATATCATTTTACGCAAAAACATATCATCAATTTTTCCAGATCACTTAAAACTTGGCTTGGATTTTGAATATGAAAATATCGTTTTTTTCTTTTTTTGTTTAACATTGAAAAAAAATGAAATTACTTTCCGAATGACCTAATGTTAAATCATTTGAAAAGAAAACTAATGAGTTTACAGGTTTGTAATGAACATAATGTAGCGATGTATGTGTCAACCGAAGTAAGAAATGTTCTAGATCCTGAAATACCTTGCAATATCGCACGCATTAATCTTGGTCATATAGATAGTGTATCATTAATGTGGTCAAAAAAGAATCCATTTCTCAGTCTGATTAATCATCAGTAAGTAATAAATGAAAATCTAAAGAAAAAAGCTGAATTTTCCATGTAGTAATTAACTGTAAACATATTTATTACGCATGACAATTCTASAAATGATTGTATCATAAAATAAAATTATTAATCAATGTTACATTATTTCAGTATATTTAAAATAATGAAAAACGGTATGATAACAAGAATAAGAAACGGTTATCAAAGTAAAAAAACCTTTAAAAAGAAATTAGATTTACGTGCTTTAGAATTTTGGAGTATTATACCAATTTTATCATTTCTCGAAATAGGATTTGTTCTAAGTATTTGCATGTTGATCATAGAAAAATGTTATTTTACCCATAGTAAAAGGAAAAATGTTATAATTAAAAATGTAAGAGGAGGTAAAAAATTTAAATTACGAAAATATTTTATTTAATATTAACTCATAAGAAGTTTCTAATTAAAATTAACATTAATATTTAAAAAAAGATTGAAATTTTTTGGATCAATATGTTTAAACTTTTATAATTATTATTTATAATAAAATATTGGTATGCACCAATCAATAACTGTAAATACAATTCTGAATTTAATTAAAATATTGATAAATGATTATTTTTATTGAACAAAATGTTACAAAATACTGACCGAAATAAATAGAAATAATTTTCAAACCTCTTCCATCACCTTTCTCATTCACCCTCGTATAAAAAAAAAAAAAAAGAAAAAATAGGAAACATAAAATTCTTCGAAAATCAAAGAGCCCAACGAGAACCCATATGTTGTAGAAAAAAAAAAAATAAAAACATAAAAGAGTAAGGAATCCGACACTTGACACGTGTGTATAAGTTAAATAGAAGGAAGAGAAACCTTGTCCAATTTTCTCAACATTTTCTCTCAAAATGTTTTTCCCATTTCCCATATGTGTCTGATATCATGCGGTCATACGACGGTCAGGCCAACACATTAACGATGTTTTATATGTAATATAGTGGGAATGATGTGAATGGCGTTCGTGATGATAGTGTTTGCCGGTGGAAAATGATGGAAATATAATTCACAGCTTGTTCGTAATTTTCCTGATAGAGCGCAACCTTTATTTTTTTATCTTCTTTTTTCTTTTTTTTTTTTTATCTTTGATTCATCTCCACGTTATTCGTATAGAAATGCAACGACCAACGCAAAAATTATATTGACACATTCACACACACATGCATGCATGCACATATATAACATAAATACGTGCACAATAGTAATATATAAAGCACATAATATAGAAAGTAGGTGATCAAGGAAGAACACCGTATAATACCCTCGGCTAGGTAAAAACACGCATACGCATATAAATATATATGTGAGAATGTATACAGGGTGGGGTATTTAAAACAGATCACTTAAATCACACTTTTTATTCATTGATAGAACAAAATGTGTTGCTCAATTCTTCACAAAATTTATTTCAATTTGAATTCTTTGAAAATACCTGAGAATTCATGTAAAGGAAATTAAATCAAAACTAACATTATTTCTTTTTTAACGCTGTCACTATCTAATAAGTAACTATAAATCATTAGTTAATATTTTTTGTTTGTTGATGAATGGATAAAGGAAATACGTAAAGCAAATTCAATCGTTTTAAATAAAATATTCACTATGAAATCCTGAAATTGTTATTATTACAAAAAGAAATAAATCAAATACAACCAATAGTAATGTAGTTACTCATATGGCTTGTATTAAATGTCTCACCCGTTATATATGTGAATTTGTATGTATATATATGTTTATATAGATCATTGGAAGGAGATAAAAACGAGCGTGGAAGAACTACAATCGCCTTTCAGTCGTTCAATTCAATCACGTGTTCGTAGTACACCGGACACCTTTCGAATTCCCTCTTATCTTTACTGAAAAAATTGTATCATTTTATTTTCAACCTTATTGTTACTTACATCACATTGTTACAATTTCAAAAAAATTAGAAATTAGATTTTTAATTGTAATAGTCATGAGACCAACATGTCTCCTATAATTTATAGCGTTTTTTATATCACATTCACCGGTATCATTGTCATTGGTTTAAGTTTGACCACTCATGATTATATTTTTCTTATCACCCAAGTATATAATCATTACGAAACCTCGTGTGTGTTTTTTGTGAAGAGTGGTCATTCCGATAGTAAGTGAGAATGCAGTATATTTGATTAAATAATTAACGATTTATAGTTTTATTTGGACACAGTATTTTGTTATACTTTTTTTTCAATGTTAACATGTCTTCTCATATCTACGTTAGTTAGTTTTAAAATGATAATTACGTGGTACAATGTCACGTATATGAGTCATGGTGTAAAAAATACAAATTTCTTTGAAAAATGACTCATATGCAACTTTAACAGTTAACATGTTAAATAAATAAATTTTGTTGTTAATAAATTTATTGTTTTTGTCATATTTTAAACAAAATTATATTTTTTTTTTTAATATTTTTGTGATAAATAAATATTTGCACAAAAAAAAATCGATTTAACGAAAAGGGAACCATAAATGAATTTTGTAATGGTTCGATAGACATGCAAATGTCAACTATGATCCACACATGGTCACGTGAACTCTCTCGTCGAGGAATCCTATCGATCAGTATCAATTTCACGGATTTAGCCATGGACAATAAAAAATATAATCCAACATCAAAACCATTGTTCGTTATACTTCTTTCTACGTGGGAGAATTTCGAAGAATTCTCCAAGGTCAGCAAGGAAGTCGAAGTATCCTTGTTCGTTTGGTTCGTATTATTTATGGAGACACCAGGTAACCCGATGGAAGAATTTTGTCGAAAACCTATTGGCAATTTTTTCAATCTTAACTTTGATACAGAGATGTTAATTCTTTGCTACAACGAAACGATATTAAAGGAATGGTAGGATATATCAAATGTTTTAATATGTCATAGTATTTTAATGTTTTTTTCCAATTTACTTTATACGCAGATGTAATTATTTTTTTTTATCAAACGTTAGGTATTCCATACATGATAATACCACGATAACTTCTAATTTCGCTACATGGAAACCTGGAAATTATTTTTCCGCAATTAGCAATGAAAGCCTTTACGGTCGAAGAAGCAACCTTTTTGGAACGGTTTTACGCATTGGCACGGTCAAAGTATAATTCATTTATAAATATTATAATAATTTACATTTCTAATCAAAACGATTAACTTTAATTGTAAAATTCCAATTCTTACATTATATAAATGTTTATTGAATTTGTATGTTCAATAATAAATCAAAAATTCTTTACTTTTTGTTTGAGGGAAGTTAATCGATTTGTCAAATGAGTGCTTCACATATAAACATAATAATCATTTTGATTATAGGATTCTTCTTTTATCGGGACAAAGAATAATAAGCTGACCAAGCTACTAGGAGTAATAGTCACGGAGTTAAGCAAGACGATAAACTTTACTATCGAAATATTAGAGCCTGTTAATGCTTATGGCAGTTGGGACAAAGAAAATGAAACTTGGAACGGAGTGATCGGACAATTGGTTGCCGGTGAAATTGATTTGGGTGTAGCTGAATTTACAGTGACTACTACTAGACTGGAAGCTGTTGATTTCACCTTACCATTTTTACTTTCTCGTAATCGATTGTATATGAAAGAAAATCCTGGTTCTGTTATTAATTGGTCCGCTTATTTCAAGGTTTTATTTCATTCCAAAATTATTCTAATAATATTAATTACTAATTTATCATTAATATCACGGAATGAAAAAAATTAATTTACATTGAAAAATATAAAAAACATTTATATTAATATTTGTAATTTAATTTTCTAATTTTTAGCATTATTACATATAAATTTTGTTACTTTTCTAGACATTTAGTCCAGGAATTTGGGGAATAATAATTTTAATGATAATGACGACGCCCATTTTATTGACCATAATTAAGATGAAAAGTTTATACATTTCCGGATCTGTTTTGTCAGTAAATTATATACACGTATGGGGTATTTATTGTCAACAAGGATTATCAGGTATGCACGTATGTGCGTTGATGAAACAAAAACCCAAACAAATTATATATGAGATTTCTTATATTATATTATGGTTTTAATGGATTATTATACGCTTTCAGAATTTCCCACCGATTCTTCTTTACGTCTTGCTTTCATCTCCATCTTCGTCTCGGCTATAATAGTCTCGGCTGCTTACTCGGCTTCTTTAATTAGTTTCTTGACCGTGACCACAGACAGTTTACCTTTTTCCACTCTCAACGATTTCGCCAACGATGGTTCCTACAGCTTGATTGTTTTCGGCAACAGTGCTGATTACGACCTTTTCGCGGTAAATTTATCATAAATAAGATACAATTCTCTCAACACGTTTATTTATTTCTTTTAAATAACAAACAAAATTCTCATTATTTTATTCAGAATTCCAAAGATGAAATCATCATCAAAATGATGAGTTTAATGAAACCGAAAAAAGAATTACCAACCGGATTATCTGAAGGATTCGATAAGGTATTTTAACATTAAAAAATATTATCCAACAGTAAACAATTATACTAAGAGATTATCAAACTTTTTCACTTAACTTAACCCTATATAGGGTCGTAATGGACACTTTGAGAAACCTTTCTTTAAGTAACAACTATTTTATTTAGAAAAATGTATTTATACCTAGTTGTTCGTATTAATACAAACGTTTTCATTTTTTCCAAAGGTATGTACAGAGAAAGTGGCGTTCTACGCAACCGAAGAAGTAAAAAAAGCGATAAATCTTTATCTACCATGTAAAGTTAATTTTATAGAAACCGGTAGATCTGATAGTCTGGCAATGACTGTGCCAAAGGGTAGCCCTTTTAAGGGTATCATCAACTATCAGTAAGTTCATTACTTTTTTCTTTTTTATGATTAATGACGATCCTTATATTAGTTTTAATAGAAAATATGTATTCTTTTCGTTGTTGTCTTTTTAATTATAGTTTGCAAAAATTCATAGACAACGGTATAATGAATCGTTTGAGAGGAATGTTCGTTGTACAAGTTAATTTATCGAAAACTATACACACTGCAGTTACTTTATGGGACATCGCACCAATTTTAACAATACTGATTGGTGGTACCATATTAGGTATCATCATATTAATCATAGAAAGGTCTTATCATATTTGTAAAATTAAAAATGAATTTAACAAATTACAAGACGAACTTAACAAAATAAAATTGAAGAAGATCATAAGAATGGATAAAAATTTTTATTCCGACAATTTAAACAAAGCACGTAAAGTGAACGAACTTAAATCATCTGGTGGTTATTTTCCATGATTCAATTTTGAACCGATCATTGGTTTCGAGAAAAACAAGTGTATCCATTGAATCATAATTTTTGTTATTTAATTTTGCTTTTGTAAAAAAAAAAAAAATTAAAAAATATATAAATCAAAACATAATGATAATAATTCAAAATCATATTAATATATATTTTCACACTCACAAAACACAATCGTTTTAGTTTTATCTATTTATATTTCATACTTATCTTATCTTGGAAAATTAATAAAACGCTATTGAAGTATGTAAAATGTTTGTGTTATGTTTTGTAAATAAAATAAAAAAAGAAAATAAAAAAGCAAAAGAGTAGTCAGGAAACTTGGTATTATAAATGTATATAATAATCCATGAAATTGAATTTTCTCATACCGCGCGTGAAATCGCTTTCACTTTATGCATTACTAGCAAGAAAATACCTATCTATAACCATCTATTCGTCTTATACCACCGAGAGTACAATATAATTAATTACAAATAGATTTCCGCATATCGTTTCACTCAACTGTAAATATTTATCCAATGTTTCCCGCGTAGTTTTGTAAATACAGTTTGTCTCGTTTCTGTTTAAATGTTTGTTTGGTCCGCCAGTCACGAAAGCAAATAATTCGTCATGCACGTTTCAGTTTTAACACGACAAGCCTTGTCAACTTTCGACAAAATCAATTCGAGAATTGATCAAGCATCGAATAACACGTAATACAATTCATTTTCAAAGAGTGGGATAGTTGTGGAGTGGGAGAAAAAGAGGGTGGCTCGTTAGAGAGAAAAAGAGGGAGAAACGCACGTAGAAAATTGTCGACAGTTTTTTTTTTGTTTTGATTTTTATCGCAAAAGGGGATAGATAATTATTATGAAAATGCTTTATACTTTCTCACCAGGGAATATGAAGAAGAAAGACCTACCCCTTTCGTTTTATTTAATTGAGATCTACCGATTTCATAGATTTGCTTTTTTTTCTTTCTATTAAACACTTCGTTATTTACGTTGACGTTTATGAGATTGTAATCTGTTTTTCTTTCTTTCTACTTTTATTAATTTATTATCTTTCATCTTTATTGTTATACAATATTTATCGTATATTAGAATTATTATTTTTTCTTTTTTCTAGTGTTTTTAGAACACTTTCATTTACTTTAGATGGTATTTAAAAGATACATAAAATATAACATACTTGAAAAGATAATTATATAAGATTATTAAGCATACACTTCTAGTGGTATATTCAATACCAAGAAATATTTCGAAGTTAGATTTACGTGTATACGTGAATTCATAAAAAAAACGTCTTTGAACTGTAACCTTTGGAGAAATTCGCCCACGTAACTTCTTCCCACGCGAAATGCAATGAGCCATATTCTACCGTCTACTGATTTAGAAGAAAATGAATATATACTTACTTTACTTTATAGATGTCATGATTATGTCTAACCAAAAGCAAAATATACATATATATATTTAATACTGATAAACATTCATTTATTTCAATTTATGGTTAACATAATAATCAATAATTGCTGATTTAATGATCAATCGATCATCGATATAAAATAATCACGAATAAAATAATTCCAATTAAGATACACGAACAAGCACACACATAATAAATAAATAAATAAATAAATGTAGCAAATAATTAAAATTTATCTCGAAAACCATTTGTGTTAATCATGATAATTAATAATATCTGATTAAATGATCTATCGATTTTCGATGCTTAATAATTACGATGCAATAAAAAAAATTTCGTTAAAGAAATTTTTAAAAATATTTTCGCATTAAAACACACGCTAAATAAATTTTTATACTAATTAATTATTGTTTATTAGGATGATTAAAAAAAATGTTTTACACATAATAATAAATTGATCGATGATTGATTGATTAGATCGATATTTAATGTTTACGATTAAGTAAAAAAATTTTCTTTAAAAAAATAAAAAATATCTCAAAGTGTATCTGCGCACACTTATTGTTAGAAACGCATCGGTGAGTACCTGCGCAGTACGCAGTACTTACATTAGTGCGTTACGCACTCAGGTGTTACGAGGAGCTCTATCGCTCGAGCTACCACCGGATATGGAGGAGCACGCGCTGTGTTTCCGTTTTCTGCATGACCGGAAGTGACCTTTCGCTCATTAGAAAAAGATCCACGTCACTCCCTTCAGCCATCCATCGACATTGAATATAACTGTACGTTCTATTATACTCTCAATACTTTCTATATCTCTTTCAAAATGTTCTGACATATTATATTATGTTTTACCAAAAAATAAAAGAAAAAACAAATAACGAAAAACCATCTTTTTTTTTTTTTAAATTGGCGATTACAAAATAAATGTTTATTTTCGTTGTACTCATCTATGAATTTGATATTTGATTTAATTTTTGATTATTTTAATAAAGGTTTTACGTTGATAATTGTAAAAATGGTTATTTTTAGTCATAAAGTATTAACAATTTTAGAATAAATTTTTATAATTAATTTTTGCAAAAAAGAATATAAACAACATTCGATAAAGATTGTACATGTCTATCTGAAAAGTAAATTTTGGCACAAAGGTACATTTTTTGCATGAATCTTCATCGAATTGATTGATCTACCCTCAAAATTGTACATCTTTTTTTGGTTTTTTTCAATTTAATTAATTAAAACAGATATTTCTCTTATGAAACATGTTTACCATATAGATAAACACGATTAACTGTATATCTATAATGAACACATGAAAAATAATAATCATTTTTCTCGGTCGAAAGACTACATCTAACATAAGAGTATACAGTTTTCAATGCACGTGGTTTTAAGAGAGCCATTGCTGGCACGTTGTGTCATCTCTGGGCGAGCCCAGAATGCCATTATCTTTGGTGCAAGCATGTTACCAAGTAAGAGACATAAATAGAGAGTGAATGAGAGAGAGAGAAAAAAAACGATTCGATATATACCTTCTTGTCTTAAGAATAATTGCGAACCAGGAAACGATAATTTATATATATGTATGTATATCTATAGATATAACTTACCAGTCATGCTAATGACGAAGAAGATAAAAAAAAAGGAAATAGAAAAAATATGATAACAATAAGCTGACTAATTGAATGCCATACACATTCTTAAGAAAACAAAATATTTTTCCAATATCTTTTTCAAATAAATATAATACTTTTGATTTTATTAGTATAAATATATGAATAATTTCATTTTATTTATTATCTGAATTAATATTAACCTTTTTTGGACGTATTCAATTTGGACATGGGTGTCGTAGTGGTCAGAATTAATTTATATGTATATATATATATATAATATTTTATAATACTGCGATAAGCTGTTATCATGTATATTATTGTAATATTATTATAAATATTTGTAAAAACGGTAATTTGGTATTAGGTAATTTATAGAGATTCTTTTGAAAATGATTAAATAAGATAAGAAATAAAAAAATTTATTTTAGATAAGTAAAATACTTGTAAGTATACTAAACGTTTGAACATCATCTTCGAACATTCTCTCTCTCGACTTTTTCCACGTTTCAAACATATCACGTTCGAACTTTCAAAGAACTCTAACTATGTGTAGAAGTTAGACGTGGGAGTAAACATGTATATATTTGTCTACATGTGTATTAGTGATTTTCACTTTCAAACTGTAGTGTAATATGGCATCATCAAATAAACGAGCTGCCGCTGTTTAATGATCTCGTGCAAAAGACCAACGTTTATTATTTCTTCGATTTTTTTTTTATTATTATTATTATTATTATTAGAAATTATAGTTTCTTCCTTTCTTTTTTTTTTCTTAATCGTCTATTTTGTTGTTATTATTTTATTATTAACTTCCTCATAATCTTCTTAGAATAATTTATATTTTTAAACGTTAACTCACATAGAATATACATGTTCTATTTATACACATTCGAAGTACTATTGTATAGGATTGGTGTGTTAGTAATTAGAATAAATTTTGCCCATAAACGTTCCAATTATCTTACCATGTTAAGAAACAATGAGAGGTGATAATAACATACAAAGAAATTGTATATGAAGAAACAAAAATTATGAGTATACGATTCATTAAGTTTTTTAATAATTGAACATTAAATTTTTGACGATGATGAGGATTACGAAAAATAAGGATAATTAGAAGAAACAAATGTTGACCAATAGGTTCACATTTCAAACCAATAGGCCAGTAGGCTCGAATTTTTTGCAATAATTTATATTTACAAACGTAACACACCATGAGATTATAATATTCTTATAAACAAATTCCTAATATTGGTGAATAATTGATCGAACGATCAATTGTTATATATAAAAATGATTAAAAAAATACTTTAAATGTTTGAATGTTATTGGCCAACCAAATATAGGTGTATCTTGTACAATAATGCAAGTTTTTGATTGTTTAAAGAAAAGTTATTTCGTAATGGAAAAAGAAAAAAGGTTCTGGTCGAGGTAATGTCCATTCTGCGTTAGGATAAGTCTCTTCATCTTATCTGTAAGTGTACGTGTTCGTTGAGATTTGACGATGACCGTGGGCGTATTCTCGTCCCTTCTCCGTTTCTATTATACCCTCTTTTTTCTTCTTCATCTTCTTCTTCTTCTTCATCTTCCTTTGAATTCACTCTTTCTCCAAATATTTATCTCCTTCTCGAGTCTCAAAATACGTAGTATTCTTGTTAAGTGTTAGATCCCACGAAGAATTGAAGAAGAATAGAAGTTTACTGATTAGGAAATCCGGAGTTAGTTTAAAAAAAAAAAAAAAAATAAGTAAAAGTAAGTATTTTTTAAAATAATTAACTTGTTCAAAGATTATCTTTAAATTATCTAAAAAAAAGTAACAATAAAATATTTCTATTTTCTTATAATAATAAATGAATGATTGTATCCAAAAAGTGGTATAAATTAAATTTAATTATTAACTCTGTAACAAGTTTGTAATAAACAACACAGATCCTACTTCTAAACATTCATTCAAGTAATAAATAATTTAATTCAAATTTCAATCCTCAATATATAAAAAGAAAATTATAATCCACCCATACAGAAATTGCATTACTGCAACTGCTTGCATTAATATTAAAAAAGAAAAATGAAATTAAATTATTGTACAAAAAAATCCTCTTAATCAAAATAAATCCAAATAGGGGTAAAGCCCACATATTCGAAATGAAGAAAAAGAAAACGAAGACGAATTTTTAGTTATTATAATAATAATCATCATCATAATAATAATAACTAAACGAGATATGCGTTTAGAATAGAAGAAAGAATCGGTGCTCGTCTATCTCAATGCCATGCAAAGGCTTCTACAACCCACGTCCAACATATACCGGGTGTCGCGTGGGTGCTTCTGATTCCCCCTAGGCTCGTGCTTATGGCACGTGGTATCGGGGAGGTGCAGTGGGGAAGAGAAGAGAGGGTTAAAAGAGAGGAGAGGGTTTTTAAGAAGGTTCTATCTTTCTTTCCTTACCCCACTCGTCTTATACCGACTTCTTGTTCAAAGGAAAGGAAAGGAAAGGAAAGGAAAGGAAAGGAAAGGAAAGGAAACGAAGAGAGGTGTATATGCCTATCTACCACAACAGCGTCCACGTAAACGCGATTATGTTTCGAGTCTGGCAGACCCATTCAGTCCTCCTCACGACACGACGCGTCGTGAACACTCGCACGAGAGTGACAGAACAAAAACTCGGTTTCAAAAATTGTGTTTATATCAATTTTTCTTTTTTCTTTTCTATATCTTTTATATTATTCATTTTATTAAACATTTATTAAACGTTTTTTTTTTTATTATTAATTACTAATTTTCAAATAGAACGTACGTTTGTTTAAATTTTGGTTTAAAAGTGTTTATAAGTTTTGAAAGAAAAAGGACTGATAAAACGATCAAACAAAATAAGTGCAACATCAGTGACTTTTGATTATTTTTCTTTTTGTTCGGTCAGGATTTGGTACTTTGACGTATTTGATTTGATTGAGGTAAAAACAAATAAAAAGGTGCAACGTGACATTTTAGGGATTTTCATTTTTCCTTTTTCTTGTTTCCCCCCCCCCTTTTGGTTTCTTTCTTCTTGGACAAGGTTTTTTGTTGGTCAAGTTATTTTATACGTAGGAGATACTACGATTAGGTGAGTTGGTGTTTATTTGAGCGTTAAGAAATTAAAGTGATAGCTCTGTCGTTGATATCTTCAACTTGATGATGTGAGATATCTTACGAGAGTTGCAAGATGTCGTATCCTATCTTTTATCTTGTCCACACACGAGAAATGTGATGAACGTATCTCGTAAGAGGTTTTCCTTTTTTTTTTTTTTTGTTGTTCTTCGTTACGAGCAATGAAATACGATAGACAAGTCTAATATTAACATCTTTATCATAGATCTGATATTTATGTGCATTTTGTCTTATTTCTTTTTAAATGCTGAGTCTATTGAATAAATACTTTTATTTTTTTGTTTACGTTAAAGTTTTTTTATCTTAGATTTAGTAAAGTAGTGAAAATTTATCGATTTTATCTTGGTTAGTAGTGTAATAATTACCCACGCACGAATACACTCGTATACATGAATTGTGCAACTTGAATCATCACTGACAACTTGGTTGCATCTCCTTCTGTGGAGAGTAACCATTTTTTCATTCATTTTCTAAGAAATACAAGTTTCTTAACCCTAAATGCATAAATTAGTGCTCATAATTTACATAAGTTATGTACATCGGTATATTTTTTTTATTCTTCTTTTTAAATATATCATAAAACAAATGACGATTTAATTTTTTATCTCTATTAGATTATAAAATAAAAAAAAAACATTTATTTGATTGTTCACACGTTTCGTAACTTTTCCTTCTTGATGATTCGCGAACGAAAAATATCAAATTCCATTTTAAATGTAACTACGATATCGTAGCATATAAAATAAATAAAAAAAAAAAAGAGGAAAAACACATTATCCAAGGACACTTCTTTTTTTTTCTTTTTTTCTTTTTTTCTTTTTTCCTTTTTACACCCGATCGCTCGAGTTTTATTAATCGTTTTAAAATGTTGATTACTATATCCTTCGTAATATAATCGGCAAAGAATATATTATCAAATGCATTTCAGATCGAGTAATTTGAAATCTTTCTATTTATGAAACAAGATCTATTATATCCGAACACATAAATTAAAAAAGAAAAAAAAAACAAGAAGAAGAAGAAAGACATACGAGACACCGCACAACGAAAGAGACCACCATGAATTTATCGTCATTTTGCATTATTCTCTTATTGGTCGGAACCATAATCTCGAGACCTAAATGATCCGCTTGATCGCGCGTTAACGAAAGATAAAAAAAATAAAAATAAAAATAGAGGATGCGCTTTTCTACGTTGTCGTATAAAGAAAAATACAAAACACGTATTAAAAGTCATTTGAGAAAGAGAAGGAGTAGGGGAAGGGTAGGCGGGGGAAGGGAAAAGATTTGCATAACCAGAATCGGCGTTAATCAAGTACGACAAATGCATTCTGTTTCAACTTCGTTCTTACTTTTCTATTTATTATTCTTTTTATTAATTCATTTTACAATCAGTAATATCGACTTTCAATTGCAATTTTTACAACGATCATTTATGTTCCTGTTTTTTGTTTTTTAATTAAATGTAAAGTACTTTTTATATGTATTGGAATATATAAAATGAATTATTTATAATATCATTATTATTAAAATATTAATATTTACCAAGTCTCATATATAAAATTGAGACAATTTGATTAAGAAATAAAAAACGAAATAATTGTAATCCAATTATTTGAAAGAAAAAATATGATTGATCGGAATGAACACAAAGTAGATGTTTAAATTTCGATGTTTCTCTCCTTGTAGGAATTGTTATACATCATATTGTAATTAAAAAATAGATCAACGACCTGGAATATAATTCGAAAGGTAGATTTAATTTATCTACAATTAAGATTATGAGAAAACGGATAATTTAACGAATTTAAGTGAAAATCACGTTAAGGAAAATTCAATTGCCGTATATGAATAAAAATAAAAAAAAAAAAACTAAAAAAAACTGAAGTATTTTAATGGTAATTTTACCAAGATGGAATATCGGTCGTAATAATTCCGCTAATGGAAAATTCATGAACTTTGTTTTTGTTGCAGAATTAACGAGAGAATCGTTGTCGGGGCATAGCGATTTCCGTTATTAGGATTCCTCGAGCGAAACGAAGAACAGAACAAACGTCGGAGTGAGAAAACTATAGATAAAACGAGAAAACAAGATTTAGATCGAGAGATCTAGAGATCTCTCTAGATCTTTCAAAGAGGATAAAAAAAGGATAACAAACTGAACGTACACATCGAGGTCGGGATACATATATCGTAGACAATCGAGTGCAACGCTGTTATTTTTCAAATCGCGTGCGTTACACTACGCCTCCTATCGAAACGCATCGTCCGTAACATTAGAGGTACGTAATTGTTAAGTTATTTCGCATCACGAGTTAGCCTGCTTTCATTATTATTATTATTACTAAGCTTATTAATTATGATCGATAAATCAGTATCTAACTATTCTTTATACATTAGATAGATTAACACTTAAGGTTTTGTTATTTTAATTGTAAAATTCAATATTATAACATGAAACATGAATTTGATTGAAATCAAAATGTATATTCTAGTTGGTACACACAAAATAGGAAAAAAAAAACATTTTGAGATTAGGATTGGTGTTTAGTCGTATTTTGTAGAATACGTATACCATAAACTTACTTACAGTACACTATACATAAATGGATAATAAATAATAAATAATAATTATTACATCTAACCATAAGAGTGAGATTTAGGAAGTACAATCTGAGATTTGTAATCAGTCAAGTCATTTATATGTATATAGTAGATATATAAAATATTTTTTAATAAAAAATTATATATATATTTACTAAATAATTTAATTCATAGTATCATATATTGTAAAGAAAGAAAAAAGAAGATTACTTTAAACGAATGATTTATCTTATGGGGACAGAAAAGAAAATGTTATTTTTTTTATATAAATTAATATATAACTTATTAAAATATTCTCATCATATTATATCTAGATGAAAGTTATAGAATAAAAAACTGACAGAACTTTGACCTAATACACATACAACAATTTTCTTTTTCACGTTATTCAATATCTTCGTTGTTTTACTTTAGTATTAGTTTTACTTTAGGCCTTATCCTTTCTCACAGTTTACTTCGGCACAATCGTTGCTTGAGCGAGGCCAACAGGAAATATATCTCCTTATTGTATTGCCCGAAGAAATATAAAGTAACATTTCGCATGCAAATAAATTGTTCATGCGATAAATCGTTCAATAAAGTCGTGACAAAAAAAAAATAAAAACAACAAAATCTGATCATCATTTAAAATATCATTCGTATGAACAATTAAGAAATGTATGAAAAATACAAAACTCAAATTTGTTATAATTTTTTTTTCTTCGACAATAAATTAAATATCGAATCAAATCAATTTAAAAAAATAAAAAAAATCATCAAAAATGTTCCAATAATTTTATAAACGTTAATAGTGCACTTTAAACGTGTACACAATTTTTTCAAACAAGATCATAAAAAATGATCTATTAATTCTTATAATGATGCTTGTTGCACTTCATATACGTGTTCTCAAACTATAATACATAAAATTAACTGCATCACATACGTCCGTTATTTGATATATAAAACACAGACACTTGTCGATATAATCTAATTATCTCACCAACACAAACCATAATTCAAATACACTTAATGTAATATATAAAAGGATGTACCTACCATAAGTATAAGTATAATAAGTATAAGTCTTGGCATAACGGATTCTTTATCAACATAAATCAATAATCATCAGATCGATTTATCTATCTATCATGCGTTCTCTTACAACAATCGTTACGGACGATCGACCTCAGTGTCCATTTATGGCAACTTAGATCATTCCAATACTTTTCTCTCTCTCTCTTCGTTTTTCTATCTATCTTAGTCAGTCTCTGAACATATAATTAGAACGTGCAATACTCTTGCAGGAATTAGAGTAATTAGAATACGGGTGGTACGTACTTGACACGACTATTTGACGAGAGTTTCGAGACGAGAACGTTTAACATTTTACACTAGTATAATACGCACACCTACACATATATATATATATA